ACCTTTCCCTTTGCTTAAAATAGCTAAAAGGGCAATATCTCCATAGACTGAAAGTGACTTTTAGCAAGTAGTTTGTGAATAATTCTATCAATATCATGATTACCTTCTCAACTGAGAACTGTAGCATGCACATGCTCAAACTCAGACATAAGTATTATTAAAAATTGTCAAGAGCGCTATCATTGCCTAAATTTGTGTATTGTATCTATGCTCTTGTCGGAATATCGATATCAATCATGTCCATTTCATTCCAAATTAACATCATTGCATAATAAAATTCTTGAATACTTTTTTATCCTTGATTCAAAGAGCTTAATTCTTGCGCAAGTTGATGCATCATTGCTTAATTGGATTCCTGATATACATGCTTAAGATATTTTCAAATAGCCTTTGATGTGTGTAAATGGCTCAGATTGACAATAATAGAGTTCTCAACAGACTTCATGATCTATGTCTTCACTTTTGCATTATTGGCTGTCCATTTGGAATCAAGAAGTCCATAAGTCGGTCCTACAATAGAACTGTCGATGTAACCCCATAATTCTCGACCTTCTAGAAAATTTCGTAGATAGGAGGCCCACAAGAGATAGTTTTGCCCATTCAGTTTAATAGCTAAGTTATGAGAATCCATTATGGGCCCAGATGATATTGTGTTCTGTTATAAGACAAAAGAATAGCCCAACAAAAAAAAAAATGCCCCAAGTGAACCCACTTAAGGAACTTGGGGCAAGAAAAAGACATCCGTCTGCATCTATCTCCTTTCAAAAGATGCAAAAAAAGGCATTTGCTATATGCAATGGCATTGGGTTTCCAAAAAGTGCATAAAAAGTCAAAAAAAAACTCCCATCAAAGAGCCCCTATCTCCTTTCAATAACCAGAAGCAATGAGCTAAAGAAAAGATCCAATAAGAAAGCCTGGTCCACATTCTAGGAAGAGGTCAAAGCAAAATCAATGGGAATGAGCACAAATTACTTGCCACTAAGAGAGAGAGCACGAATTCATCAAAGTAAAGAGATCATAGCTCTGATACCATGTTAACTAATAAAAAAATATATTTTCTCTTATTCTCAACCTCCTTAAGAATATGTATAAGACGTTATCTTTGATATATTTTCTTACAACTCTGACATGCTGCACTAAGCTCATGTTGTATGATCCTCCTAGGCTTTGTGATGTTCTAGCAACTTGGAGCATCTGGTCTCTCAATCAAAATTGTGGACCATTTTCAAATTGAAATGCATGAAGCACAACTCACATGTTAATTGTTTTGAGGATGCTATCAAAACACCTCCAACTTTGTCTTGAGAATTTAACGACATACTCACTCATGATTGATTATAAGAGAGAGAAAAAGAAAGAGTTTGAGTCAAAATATTAAAAGAAAGTCTATAATAAGACCATTTACTTTTGGTACAAGGTGGTCACACTAATCTTGACAATTGGATGTGAAATTGGGTGGATGCATTTATTTCATTGACCAAACTCAAAGTTCAAAAGAATTTTTCTTAAACTTTCTGGCACACCCAAACTATCAGATCTCACATAAGATGGTTGTAAGCAGTGTTTTAAAAAACGGCGAGTCGAACCGGGCTCGCCCGGTTCGACTCGGAAAGACTCCCGCCCGTGCCGGTTCCAACCGAAAATCGGGAATCGCCCGGTTCTAGAGTGGAACCACCGATTCCCATCCGGTTCAGCTCGGTTTTAGAGTGGAACTGCCAATTCCCATCCGGTTCAGCCCAGTTCTAGAGTGGAACCACCGATTCCCATCCGGTTCAGCTCGGTTTTAGAGTGGAACTGCCAATTCCGATCCGGTTCAGCCCAATTCTAGAGTGGAACCACCGATTCCCATCCGGTTCAGCCCGGTTCTAGAGTGGAACCGTCGGTTCCATCCGGTTCAGCCCGGTTCTACAGTGGAACCACCGGGTTCTCATACGGTTCAGCCCGATCGCACACTCACACGTGCATCCCATCCGGTTCAGCCCGGTTCTACAGTGGAACCGCCGGTTCTCATACGGTTCAGCCCGGTTCACACATGACATGCACGTGCGAGCGTGCCCCACGCACACTCACACGCGCATGCATACAGGTTGTCGAGCGCACATGCGAGCGTGCCCTACGCACACTCACACGTGCACACTTGTGTCCGAGCGCACGTGCGAGCGTGCCCCACACACACTCACACGCACACACGTGTGTCCGAGCGCACGTGCGAGCGTGTCCTACGCACACTCACACGCGCACACGTGTGTCCACACGCACATGCGAGGTTGCCCTAATATTTTTTACACATTTTATAATTCATATTGCATAGGTATTTATATACCAAATTTGAATACCAATCTTTCGATGTGGGATAATTCCCAAACATCATTAAATGAAAACGAAATGTAAATATAGTTTATTAATCAGCAGTTTATAATCACATGTAGTTAGATGGCTTGACAGTTATGATTTTGAATTTTTTACTTGAGGTCCCAATGTGGAATCCCCTTGGGCACCCCCTTGGGCATGTGTTGCATTTTTGTTATGTATATAGTGGCTGGTATAAATATTTTTATTGTTTTCGAATCCCTTGGGCATGTGTTGCATTTTTGTTGTATATATAGTGGTTGGTATAAATATGAATATTTTTGTTGTGTATATAGTAGTTGATATAAATATAAATATTTTTGTAAATAATATAAAAGACATAAAAAAATGAAAAATAAAAAATTTAATTTTTTATATAACCGTTAATTTTTGTTGTGTATAGTGGTATAATTATTTTTGTAAATAATATGAAAGGTATAAAAAAATAAAATAAAAAGTTTATTCTATTTGAAATCTCCATCTTTCTACTAATAGTCTCTTTTACTAAATTTATCATAGAAACCTAAAAAAAAAAATTTTTGAAAAATTGAAGTGTTATTTCCAAAATTTATACGCATTTTATTAAGTTTTACATTGATAACCAAATCTTTTATTTTATTTATGAATTTTTACATTATAAATCATGTAATGTACTATTTTTCTTACAATTGTCAACAATACATTTTAAATTAGATAATATTATAAAATATTTTTAATTTGTTATTATTTGTCTAATAAAATAATTATAAAATGTAAACTAATAATTATAATTTCAGTATATAATATTATAATGAGTGAGGTTGTAATAATTTTAGATTATAGTTAGTTAGGCTGTAATAGTTTGGGTTTTTTTAGTGGGTTAGGGTTTTTCGCCAAAACGAGATTTTAATGGCCATTCTTTCATTGATTAGTCTACTCTTTATAATAATCCATATATAATTATATATTTTATCCAGATAAATCTATGATTTTTCTTTTATGTGATGCAAATTTAATAGTTAAAATAAATTTATACAGGGCAAGAACATCTCAATATTCACAAATTGATAAAAAAAATAAAAGTTAATAATGTAGTACCCTCATTTTTTATTGGATACCTAAAAAACAACATTTATCATGAATTTTAATAATTTTTTCGGATTTTTTTGAAG